AGAGAGAGAGAGAGAGAGAGAGAGACAGAGAGAGAGAGAGATGGGGGGGGGAGACACACACAAATCCCCAAACAAGCCAGTTTTAGCTGTCATGATAAGGAAGTCCTCTCAGCTTTAACCTTTACAACAAAAGTAACTTCAAAATGACTTAGTTATTTATCTTGTTGCTGAGACAAAATGTCTGACACCCAAAGTTAAAGAAGGACAGATTTATTTTGGCTCACATTTTACAGAGGTTTCAGTACATAATTAGCTGGCTCCAAGGCAGAGAAGCATGGCAGAGGGTATCACAGAGGAGAGACAGTTTGTGGTAGGCAGAAGACAACAAAAGCAGCAAGCAGTGACAGCAGCAGCTCTCTTTATGTTCCTTATATTCTATCCCTGAGGATGGGTAGCACTCACACCCAGGGTGGGTTTTCCCATTAGCCACACCAAGAACTATGACAAAACAATCAGTGGAGCAATTTAGTAATCACAAACCCTTGATCTCAGCATCACACACTCTAGATCCAACCATCTCTGAAAAGCCCCATCTATGACCACATGAGGCTTTGAGGGGACATCTAGAAACAAGCCATAAAAATGACCACTTTTTTTGTACTCTTTCTGCTTTCTTCAGCCTTTTTCTGTCTAAAACCAACCTCCCCTGCTTAGCTTATCAGAATACACATTCTATTTCATGGAATGAGGTATTGCCTGGTTCTAGAATCACAAGTAAAGCTAAATAAGACCCTGAAATGAAATTTGCTGTAATTTTGACTTTTGAAAAGCTTAAATGTACAAGTTTTGGGAAATAAGTAATTACTCAGATATTTGAGCATGATAGTGCCCACTGGATGTTGTAGAGATATAAAGGTTCTGTTAGGGGTCTGGCAGCAATTTCAGAGGGTGATGTCATTCTTCACGGTCAGTACCACAATAGGAGAAATGGAAATTTTTACAATGAAGTTTTATTTTCAATTGAACACAAAACTAGAATTAAATAAACCAGGTCTGCCCTGTAGAGCCAATAATATTTTATAATTATGGTTATTTGGCAAATCAAGACAAAAGACCAAGCAGGATGCTAAAAATAAGCTATCTTTACTTATAATTATAGTAATCATGATTATTCAGAAGTATTCACTATGGGAAAAAGATCTAAACACTAACAAAGTTAAAATCTGGCTAATTTATTCCCAGAAACATTCCCACTATGTCTGATTCATTTACTCTTACTCAGGAGATAAGTCTAGACTTTACTGTTTTCTCTATCTACCCTGGACCCTGCCTAGACAGAAATCAAGTATCTGAGTAATTGGTTTTGACCTGTAGTGTTCCTTGGCATATTAGTGGCATTCTACTGCTCACTTTGAATTGCAACACTTCTTTTTGAATTGACATTATGTTTCAGTTCATAACCGCTTTTGGCCATCCTGATAATTCTAGCAAGGATCAAGAATCCACTAAATCTACAGCAAGAAAATAAATCCTGCCAAGGATTTATTTAAAGGATTTTAATTAAAGAGAAACCCAATGTTTATGAACTATATTTGTTTCTTTCATTTGAAGTGAAAACAGCTTACTGAGTCTTATGGGGTAGGGTCTGAAGAGAAATGTATATTCCTGGGGTTGAAGGGGTAGCTCAGTGGTAGAGTACTTGCCTAGAATGTGCAAGGCCCTGGGTTTGATCCCCAGCATGGCAGAAAAAAAAAGAGAGAAAGAAAAAAAGAACATTCACACAACTCATTACCAACTTTATGGAAAACTGTCATTACTTTTTAAATCAAGAAGTTCCTTTCTTCGCATCTCTGAGATGTGACTAGACAGCTGACAGTTTTCTGATCTTTTGTATTTATTTCTACAACATTTTTACTGTTCACAAAACAGATTGTTATGCAATCTCCATTTCCATATGACTTCTCAGGAAACTTATCATATCCCCATAGTCCTAAAATAGCATAAATTGTAAGTTACTCCACTGGTTCTCTAACAACTTTTCAAAAAAAGGAGAAATTAATTTAAACACAATACCCTATATATTTAATGCAAGTCACATCTTATTTCAGGAACCTTAATATGAAAAGGAAAAACAAATGCACATTAAACTTGGAGAAAAGTGAGATTGGACTTCTAACCCTTGAAGCAACTTGCCGGACGTGATTCAAGTGATGGACCTGCAGAATCAGGGCATCTTCATTCCTCTCATGCAATAGTAACTGGAAACAAACAAGGGCAAGTGTTGGGAAAAACAGAGATGATGGTGAGGCAGCCCTGGGCTTCCCCAAAATCTCTCTACTGGTATAGTGCCTTGGTTAGAAAGTAAACGTAGTACAGGAAAAAAGCCAGAAGGCATTAATAGCTCTCCACCCCTGAAAGGGTGGGCTGCCAGACACTCTGGCTCTTCTCTCTTGCTGCTAAATTTGGGAATGTCTTGGTGCCCAGAGGGCTGAACGTGATAAGTCTCATCCAGTTAGCCCCTGGAGAAGACAAGACATGCCCGTCCCCAGCATCTCTTCTGCTAGTCTGGAAGGAGGCACAACTGGCCTCCACCCGGTAAAGGAGCTGCAGCACACACACACCAGACTGTTTGAAGTGCAAGCTGTAGGCATGGGAGAAGGTGGGGAAAGAAGATATCCTTTATTCCCTTCTCTAAAATCTGAATTCTTGAGAAGTAATTTTTAAAAATCAAATTTGGAAAAAAGAAACCAAGAAAAGCAAGTCGGGTATGTGTAACTTCGATTTAGAAAGATTATGGTGGAAAACCAGGCTTTCCACTGACTTGGTGTGTGACCCTGTGTGACAGACCTCCTGGGTCTCTATTTTCTAATCACACACCATAGGGTTCTTCTGCCCCCTCCCTCAAGCAATTTAATTGCTGCAAAGCACTCTCCTTCCACCTTCCCAGAGTCCTGGCCGTGCTTTAAGGTTTCTGTTTCTGGACACTTCCTGGCAAGAGTGATCTCATTTCTTTCTTTTCTACCATTATCACACCAAACATATTAAGTGCTTAAATATAAGCAAGTGTTACATTGTATATACTGTGGTCACAACTATGAATTTTTAAAATCTATTTAAGAATAGTGAGTTTTTTCCCCTGCTCTTCCATTGCTACATCACTTCACCATCAGTATATCTGGGGATGGGTTAGATAGAGTAGGTGAGAATTTATTTTAGAAGTTGTTGAGAGAATTATATAGGTCATAGAGTAATATGAATGAAAATATTTTTACCTCCACCACAATTCCCAAACAAATATCCCATATTCATACTGAATAATCAGGAAAACCCAGTATTCCCCACTTCATGTTTCCCACCAGTTTATTCACAAATTAAGTGTATGGCATGGTCCTGGTGTGAGAGCAGAACTATGAATGAAAAGCAGATGTATCAGAGCTAGGCCTTCAGGGAAGCTATGTTCCTACAGGGTCAGAAGCCTCATGAGAAGTAACTCACACTAAGGGTTGTATGAATTAAGATGCACGCGTTCAGTTGTCACCCAAGACTTGAGGGATGAATAGGGGAGGAACTGATATGGATTGGGTTTCCTCAGAGTCCAGTACAGGCTGAGCCATAGAAAAACTATTTATGGAATATTTCAAGGGAGATCTGGGAAAAGTAATTTATATAGCATAAGAAAATTTCAGATTTTTTGGAAATAATTTTATGATCCCAATCATATGAAACATTATAAAAAGAAAAAATGTATATTCCCAAAATAATAGTATAAACGTGTCATTCTCACTATTCAAAAACTTCCATGAACCAACCAGACAATCTATATTTTAAAAAAAAAAAAACTTTAAACCCTTTGATTTAGCTATTCTCTTTCAGGGAAATATCTTAAGAGTAGATGTCAAAATATGGAAAAATTTATGTCACAATAATGTGCAATGCTGGGCAGTTTGCAACATAAAAAAAATTATGTCCCTTATTTCCTAACTTCATATCTCAGGAATGGATCCCATGGCCACTAAACTTCAATACAATAAAAATTCAAGCTTGATTTCTTTTCAAGGTTCAAATGAGAAATATACAAGAACTTAGTAGGCATTTGTAAATCCCTCTTCTAGTTCTAGGCTATCCCTATGCAGCAAGCCCTGAACTACAAAGCAAAATACCACCAGAGGAAGAAAATGATCAACTACCTGAGGTCCCATAGCCAGTTGCCACTACTCTGCCACACAAGCCAAAAACAGGACCTTTGGGTGAAACTCGGCCTGCACCTGTCCTCTGCCCCTACCCTCGATCTCTGAGGTTCGAGATCTCAGCTTAACTGAGACAGAAAACAAAGTATTTAACAGAATACTTTGAGAATGGTCATGGCTTGATACATGTTTAGTAAGTAATAAAGAGAAAGCAATTAAGCCAGTAGCAAGTGTCTGGAACATCTAACTACTCAGTAAATGGAAGTGTTGTATTGTTGTTGTTGTTGCTGCTGTTGTTACTGCTCCTGCTACTGCTACTGCTGTTGCTGTTAAATAAATGATTCATATTTGTATGGTTACTGAGAGTTTGTACTGAGAGTTTATACTGAGAGTGCTTTCAATTTCCACAATGATCCTGGAACAGAAAACTGACGCTTGAACCTGGTAATTTGTCTAAGTTCATACTCTCACAGTTGCTGAAGCTGGGGACCTCATTGCCATCAGAGGCTCTTTTCTCTGACAAAGCTGTCTGAATCTCATAATAATGTCCTCCAACCTTCTCTCTATCATGAACTGGATTCTCAACATCCAGCCCAGTTAAAGTGGCTGATCAAAAATTATAGCAATCTTGTTCCTTCTGCAAGTGATGGCTGGTTTGAGGAAACAGCAGTAACCCAATCTTATCAATGATTTGAGTTAGTCTCTGGGATCTTCTAGGAAAGGCCTTCTCACTGCCGTGAGCTTCTGTTCTTACATTTCCAGACATCCCACCTGATGCATTTTCTGTTCATGCCATTTATGTATCAGATCTAGTGCACATATTCTATTTCTATTTGGTAGCTCCATTTCTTCAGATGCAAGTCTTTCTAAGCTCAAGTGAGATCTAATTCTGATTTCCTGGAATCGTACATGGGCAGAGAAGGGCAGATAATGATATGTACAGCTATACAAAGGCAACACATATTTGCTGGTTTCCCATCACATGGCTAAGTATAGAAGCAGAGGACACCACACTGAGTTTTACTGAAGCTTCCAGCCCCTCTCCCATGACCTCTACCCGTATAAGTCATAACAGAGCTGCATATCTGGAAGTCTGACAGTTTTCAGCTGCCTCCCTCTTCCCAAAGCATGCTGTATCGAAAGTTTTAGGAGAAAAGAAAAAGTTGGGGTAGAAGAAAGAGGAGGAGCTTTCACCATAGGACCCAATCTTTTCCTTTCAGAGTAATAATGGTGATTTGGTTAAAGCATTCAAATTTACCTGTGGAATGTGCTGCTTTGACAACTCCTATTTCAAGTTCTCTTTTAAAAACTACAATGCAAAAATGTAAGCTATTCAACTATTCCTTAACAATGTTTTATTGAGATCATTAAGCACTTTTTTTGTATGATAAACACCAGCTCACCTTTTGCATCTTTCCCTATAACCAAACACATTTGAGTTGCAGCTCTGAAGTCAGATCAGCCCTTACAGTCAGGATCTGTCCTGCATCTCCAAAATCACAGACTCAACCCTGAACCCTTCATGTTTCATATGATTCACCTACAATCAATTACTGTCATGCATTCCCAAAGTCCCAACACCAACTGATCATCACATGTGCCAGTCCTCATTTCTGAAATCTGGGTTTTTTACGAGAATTAAGTCTCACTCTCTAATCCCAACTTTCTCTCTTCCACAAATCTCCAACTCTTGAGCTTTCATTGCACCTGGTTTTCAACCACCTTGTGCCTCAGGCTCCTTGCTGCTGCCCTGTCTCCCAACCCATCAGCTAGCTCTGCTCTCTTTTCTTCTCTCAGAGGCTAGAACTCATGATTTATCACTTCACTTGCTCTCCTGCTGACACCTCCACCCCAAGCTACCAAAGCTCAGTTCCACAGCAATCCAAATAGCCCAACATTTCCACTGCCATAACTGGTAATGCAAGTTTTGCTAGAGGAAATCTCCAACCTTGCAGATTATGAATCCCAGCAGGAACTAGATGCTGGGTATGACTCAGCAACAATATGTTATATTTAAGTACTCCATGTACTCACCATTTTCAGCACCATGAGGGATGGTAACCAGCTCTGCCTCCTGGTTCTGCCACTTAGTAGCTATATCACCTCAGGCAAGTTGTTTAACCTCTCCATTTCAGTTATTTCAATTTTTCATTAGGATAGTAATTCTAACTTTATAGGGCTGTCATAGGAATTTAGTGAGTTATATATGTAAAATAATTTTAACAATGGTTAGAACATAGAATGTGGACTAACATGTTAATATTTTGTAGAGAGAACTGAGTTCTTTGGGATTTTCTTCCATTTCCCTTCCTTCATCTTATTCTTCCCATTTATTCATATCCATATGCATCCTCATCTTTTTTCTTCCTGTTCCAAAAGTTTATAAAATATTATAAAATAAGTTAATCTCTCCAATTAATATCACTTCCTTTCTTTTTTCATTTGTTTGTTTGCTTGTTTGTTTTTACAGTACTGAGAATTGAACTTAAGGTCTTCATACTGAGCTACATCCCCAGCCCTTTTTATTTTTTATTTTGAGACAAAATTTCACATCTGTAAGTGGGCCTTACTAAGACACTAAATAACCCAGGGCAGGCTCGAACATGTGACTCTCATGCCTCAGCTTCACAGAGTGCCGTGATTACAAATGTGTGCTGCTCTTGTCTACATTTTGAATTAAGACTTTTTCACAGGGCCCTCCTTAGCTTATAAATTTATTCAAATGTCTCTCTCCTTAAAGTGGAGTAACAATGTGAGGGACACAAGAAGGGAAGAGGAGGAAAGAACTGAGAGGAAAAGTCCTTAGGGCCTCTCCGCCCTTTCTGGCTATAATCAGTTATCTTCTCACAAACCCCACCTCCTAGGGACCTGTCTACACTCTCTCCTCACCCTCTCCTCCCTTGCACCTCAGTGGAATACAGTTTTGCCCTGCCTCCCTCACACACCACCCATGCCATTTTTTGACACCTCATTTCCAGCAGTTATTCTTCTAGCTGACCACCTTGTAGCACTGTTCACCTCTCTCTCATTATGAAAATTCTTCCCTGAATTTCCAAGACAGAAGTCTCTCC